GAGGTGTATGTTCATCTATAAGCGCCTAGTAGGCCCAGCATGTGCGTCTGTGCGCGAAGTACGCTAAGTATTTTAACGAATCCTTGCGGAAATATATGTTTTATTTAGGCCATAAAATCAATGATGGTTGGAGTCGATTATCCACCGACGAAGATGGAAGAACAGAATAGGTGTACTCGTTCTGGTAAAATTCGAAAAAATCGAAAGGGCGGTACGCGCGGCGATGCGGGATGCTTCATTGGTTTCTTGGAGTGCCTTCACTAGAAACTTCTGGCTTTCTGTTTTATTGCATTCACATCATACATTATACTTACTGCATCATACTCTATCGATTGTTTGCCTCTATTCTCCAAAATCGATCACTTTACCCGGATTCCGTCATTGCGTCGCCTGATACGTAGCCGGCTAAAGGCCAACTTCTTTTCATGTGTTAATCGGTCGAGGGAAATCTTGACAGAGGGAGGTGTGGGGGTCTGTACCTTCGGGCTGGGTCATGAGGGGGTCGTACTCTTGGGGGTCAGTAACAGCAGTGGTATCGTGGTGCAGATAGGTAAGAGGGTATAGCGCAGCAGAAAATGAAAATATCTGAAAAAAACATGATATTAAATTTTCTTTGCAGGTTCAGTCGCTCCATTCCTCCACCTTCATGAGAAGGGCGTATTTGAAGGCAGTACAAAGAATGAAAGTGCATCCCCGCAAAGAAGACTGCCACATGTGCGCACGCACGCGCTGCAAAGGCACCTCTGCCTAGCGCGCCTCGCTTCATTATCACTTATACGCCTGGAATGCACTGTTGATTGGGGACCTGTCTCGGCCCGAAACCGGACAACCGTGAAGGAAAAGCCCTTGGACAAATGAAGTTGTTCTTCAGGTTGTAGGAGTTACGAAATGCGTTTACTACAATGCAGCCTCTGTCAACTGGTAATGATCATATGACACCTTCGAATCGATTCTGCAACTTCGAGTGAGGTCGGATGCATGGCCTATACTCAGACAAAATTCGATGATGACGATTGCCCCTTTTCCTATTGCTTATGTTGGGAGGATGTTTTCTAGACCCATTTCAAGCGTTGCCAACAATTACACTTGCAATGGTGAAGGAGGGAGCGGATTTTCAGGTGGCCGGATCCGTCCTCGATACATACTCGACGCAGATATCTTCTCAACTAGGAAATGTAGAAGAAAGCTAAGAAGACCATCAGAAAGCGCAAACCTTCCGCTTTTCAAACTTCTTCACTTTTTCAAAATTTGCAGTTTCAAGAGTGATTGTCTTGAAGATATGCGAAATTTCGCGTGAAGAATTTTGGGGAAATCTATCTTCTGCATGAAAAGATTCCAGAGCAATTTCAAGTTAAAGGTCTTGAAACGGGCGAATATCCAGCTCTAGCGGAAGGTTATGAAATGGAGGAATGCAACCTTTTCATCGAGGGTGTAGATTTCGACGTTTTTTTTTTCGGATTTCAGCAAATCTGACCCAGTGACAATCGCGCCGCAGCTGCCGTTGAATCGGCCGTTGATGATACACTCGGCTGTTTCGATATACTCAAGCAGGAATTAAGATTAATCGACACGCGTGCTTAGGATTTCTGGTTAATTCTGAAAACGAACCGGGCTTTGAGTGTCACACAAAGTTAATGCCTCTTTCCTCGAGTCGATATTTCAGTAAATACACAAAAGTGTGCAGCGATGAAAGACAGTGCATAGATGACAAGATGAGGCGTCCATAACATTATTTTGCAGGATTTTTTTGATTTATTTTGCAGGATTTATTTTGATTAATTAATTGAATTAATTTGCTCTGTTTTGGGGGGTCGTCCCAGGATCTCGATTACGGGGGGGGGTCGTACTTCTGCGACCACGTACTCGACACGGATTTTCACCTGTTTCATGTGGTCGTTTGGCTCCCACTTCCGTTACCTTCGTGTCCCAACTTTTTTTTTGGACGTTTGTTCTTTCGCAAACGAATCTGCATGTGTGAACTTTGCGTGTTCTTAATGCCTAGAATTAAGTGTTTTGTACAATGCAAAATAATCAAAGCAATTCTGAAATGTGGAATGTGTGGCGTGTTCACAAAGTGATTGACCAAGCCGAAAGCTTTGTGCTTTCTTTCATTAATAGACGAAATAAGTGGTTGAAGCACTCTTCAAGAGTCCTCATATGTTCATTTGTAAAAAGGCAGCTGCTCTCATTTCAACTGTAAGATTGCCAAGTTTTCGGATTTAAGAGGCCTTGAAAACACGAGCGGTCACTGTGTAAGAGTAAACACAGCTATAGGTGCGGAGAGGCTTTTGAGCCCGGATGTTATAATCGGAGGGGAAAGGGGTGGGACGTGGAGAATTTTTTCAATAAGTGTCCCTGTTATTCAATAGGCGGTAGTGTCAGCTTTCGCAGCACCGTGGGGAATGAAGAGGGGATGGCGAATCTTTTGAGAACAATTATTAGAGTCCAGTCAGTGTAGTCAGCAAATGCGCTTGTTTTATTTTATTCAATTTAATTGTTTATTCTATGTTCCCATTCTGGACTGGTACGGTCGACCGATCGTCGCTGCGTAATAGCGTCCAGGTACTAGGCCTGTGGAATAATGCCATTAACCATTCGTGGGGTATAACGTTAATATCACCTGTATCACCTGTCGTCCCGTTGATCATCGAATTGCTCGAGCGGGCGCCAGCAACGTCTCCATTCGTCCCTGTCGCGTGCAAGAGTTGTCCAGTGGACCCTCCTCGCTCGAGGGACACGAAGTCCTTCATTCCTTTCGTTCAGAGCTTTCGTGAAGAAGTCTGACCATCGGGCCGGCGGTCGTCCAGGTGTTCGTTTGACGTCCCGAGGGATCCAGTCGGTAACCGCTCTGGTCCAACGGTCATCGCAAAATCGCATGACGTGTCCGGCCCACCTTATCTTCGATTCCTTGGCGAAAACGGCAGCGTCCCTGATCTTCGATCGTTGGCGTAGTTCGGAACTCCGGATTCCCCTCTGCACTTGCGTGTATAGGGTTACTCCTAGCATCGTCCTCTCGACAGCGCGTTGGATAACGCTGACCGCATGCTCGTCCTGCCTGCGCAGAGTCCAAGTCTCTGAGGCGTAGGTTAGGGCAGGAAGGACAGCGGAATCGAAGAGGTGGGCACGGAGCCGGATGTTCTTCGTCTTTAACAGTGAATTAATGCAAATCAAATTGAAAACAAAACTAGGAACAAAACGGATTATAACAAAACCAATATAAGAACTTGATAGAAATGGAGAAGAAAATAAAGCGTGACCTAAAATGAATAAGGAGGATAACAGGTTGGCGCTGATCACTCTTGTGTGGACTGCGCCACGCACTCGAATCACATGCGAGCCTTAAACATGTTTGAGTCATTTAAGCTTCGAATTATTCGAATTATCACAGCTGGATTTCAAGTCAATGATTTTATCCGCGGGCAACCCAGGGTTACTGTGTGGGTGTTCACCGTCATGAGATGAACTAGTTTTCTCTGAGCAATGCTTTACCAACCTTGGCATGTGGTTTATTTCGGTAGAATACAACTGCCTACCTATTGAGTATTTCCCCACTTTCTTTGCCGCTATACTTTTTCTTTCAATCCGAGATAGGAACTCAGCAATTGGATGGGGCCTTATGCAGTTTTAAGGTAGATTAGGAGAGTTACTCCTTCTCATCTTATGAAACCGATCCGCCCCAACGACCTCTTTTTTTGCTCCTTCGGAGATGTTCTGGAGTACCTTTAAAATTTGCAATTCTTCCTTGCAATTCGATTATCCCGGGTGTTTGCGGTTTTCTTGAACCTACTATCCCTTCTTTCGTTGACTCTTCTAGTATTCATTTTATTCCCTGGACTCTTTTTTTTCTACTTCTACCTAAAGGCAGATCACGATTATGAGAGGGTGGTGCGGTTTTGATGACGTCAATGAACGTCATTGGTGGACTTGACCACTAACCGCGGTGAGGATGTGATCGGGACCGCCTCTTACCCATGAAATGCTTTGAACTTCCCACAGAACATTGGAAGTAGAACTAGATGTGTCGTTTGAGTTCTGAAGGCGAATTACAAATATGGACACTAAACTGCTACGCGGACCTTCCTAGGAGTAGAGCTTCAAAATTTTCAAAACGTTACTGACAAGAGGGATCTACCCTGTGAAAATCACAGCCTGTGCTCTGCACAAAAAACGCAGTGTCATATGTTAATCATGGCACCATATTGTCTCAAGAATCGACCGATGATACCTCCTTTGAGATTCCTTTGTTATTCTTGAAGCTTTACTTTGTTCTGTGTTATTTTGTAGTCATACTAAACCTGTGTTTTATCGGTATTCATTCGATCAGTGCAGGCGAGGGACATTCGATATATGATTGCTATTTATCTACTCGCGCCATAGTTGATCTCCCTGAGGGTATAAAGCCCGGATTTAGAGTGATGGTCAGATCTGAATAGTCGTCGTACAAGTATCGCGCTATCAAGAAAGTACCTGTGAAATTCCCGGGCGTGCACGATAAAGAGAAGACAAAAGAAATCGTCCAAGTTTACTACATGGGTCGCATCGCACAATCATACTCCATGTCGTAACTTCAATCGGAGCATAATTCTTCTTACTTTTATTCCCACAAGTTTCCATTATTTCGAGAACAAGTGGGGTAAATCCAAGTCGGCTTTCTCCTATATCTCGGCGGAAGGGAACACCAAAAACCAATCAATAATCACCCTCCAACAAGTGGGCACCAACAGGGTCAGTTGTACTATCGGTATCCACACAGTTTAGGCATCATGTCGTACAAGTTAGCGACTCCTAAACGTCGTGTCACGTACTATACTGGCAAATTGGAAACACTTATAACTCGCTTCAAGGCTGAAGGGTTAGAATCAGTCAAACTTCCCGACGCAGAGGGAGAAATTTCGTACGTCTCTGCGCGAAATAAACTCCAAAGACTTCAAGAAGGACTTGCAGCCATCGAAGCACAACATCAAAAATTGAAGAGAAACTGAAGGATTATGCCAGAAGAAATGGACAACCTAGCCGAACCCAGTCCAAAGGATATAGAGGACTTTGAAGGGTACTCATCAAGGGCAGAAGACGCAATAAGCATGGCCTTCGACTACACTTTACAACTCCGAGCGCGCATACAAGTCTTCCACTCCTACGATCGTCGTACGCAAGCCTCACAGAACCTTCTTATGAGGGCTAGCACAGAACGCGGGTCAAATGAACCCTCACCTCCGAGCCCTACGCCGAAATCTCTAGAACTCCCACACTTCCGATTCCAATTTTCAACGGAAACATATGGGAATGGGACAATTTCTGGGAGTTATTCAATTCCAACGTCCATTCACAGGAGCTTTCGGAACTCCACAAGTTTAATTACCTCCTAAACGCCCTCAGAGGGGAAGCTTTGGAGTCGGTGAAGAAATTCCAAGTAACAAGTGGAAACTACGAAAAAGCAGTAGACTTCTTGAAAAAGAAGTATGGAAGCTCCGAAGAGCTGGTATTTCGTCTCATGGACCAGCTGGATAACTGTTCTCTTCGTTCATCCCACATACATGATCAGCGACGACTGTTCGAACAACTCCAAGTTATAATTGCACAAGTCACGCAGAAGGATGAAAATGTAAATAGCCAATGGCTAATTAGAAGGGTATTGTCCAAGTTTCCCAACCACACTCAGCGACAAGTCCTCTTGAAAAAGCAAGCCACTTTGAAGGACGTTAACTTCACTATGAGTCACCTTCTGCAAATTCTAGAAGACGTCATTACAAGTGAGGAAATGGTTGTCTCAACTACATGAAGAATGACCCCCTTCTTATGCACTAGGGAAAGGAACGACAAGCCAAAGCCGCCAAAAATTGCTTCAAGGCAGTCCTGCATGTACTGCGAAGGAAGTCACAAGTCATTCGATTGTGACAAGTACGCAACACCGCAGGAACGGTCACATTACCTACGAGAACACAAGTTGTGCTTGATATGCGCATCACCACGGCATATCACGTCTGAATGCAGGAAACGCCCCTGTTTCAAATGTCAGAAACAGCACCACACTTCGTGCTGCTTTCAAGCAGACGACAAAGGTGTTAAGGCGTCACCATTCAAAAAAGGGCACCCGAATACAAAGACAACAGCAAGGGTTAAAGAGAGCCCAAAGCAGAAGCAAAGAAAGTAACACATCAATTCGAGGATGAAAGTGAACTACCTCAGCCATGACTCGAATTCTATGGCTCCAAAAGGACAAACAGTCCTTGAAATTCTACCAGGAAGAGAACAACCAACGGTACAGTCCACCTTTTTACCCACGGGCGAAATCACGGCTATGGATCCGACCACGAAGAACTTGAGAAAAATCTCAGTCCTTCTAGATACAGGCGCTGAGATCTCCTTCATAGATACAGCCTTAGCAGCAGAACTGCATCTACCCTCAATCAAGGATACACGGCTACGTCTTCACACCTTTGGGTCGGACCAGGTACACGAGACATTATCACGTGAAGTCTCGCTACAAGCATGGGATGCAGAGGGACGTCCACTCACACTCTCTCTATACACTCACGAGATCTTGACCAAGCCGTTCGAAGACTGCGCCTATCGGTGCAGAAGACGTGGAATTTATTGTTCAACACAAATTGACCAGTTGACTTCAAAAAGAGATGCTCCACTGTGAAACCATCCATACTTATTGGTTGCGATCAACTGTGGACCCTAATTAAGTGTGATGAGCCACACATACAACTTCCATCTGGATTGCACTTAGTTCCCACCCGTCTGGGTTACATAATGACTGGAAAAATCAGCAAGTCATCACAAGTAGAGAATCTGGATGAGGAAAAAGACAAATGGGATGGTTACTGGACACTAGAGGGACAAGTGAATGTGGCAATCCTTCCTGACACACAGTCGGAAAATGACGAAAATGAGAAGTGGGACCAATACTGGTCACTAGAGTCTGCAGGGACAGAAGAGTTCTCCAACGCAGAAAAAGAGGAACAAACCGCAGCTGACCGACAAGTGTGGGAAAAATTCAATCAGACGATAGAGAAGCGAGACGACGGATACTATGTGAGACTGCCGTGGAAAAACGTGAACGTCCACTTACCAGACAACAGAGCAATAGCCCAAAATCGACTTCTATCTGTCTGGAATTCATTACAAAAGAACGAAGACTTGATGGCGCAATACAACGGAGTATTTGAAGAACAGCTAGAAAAACAAATCCTGGAAGAAGTGAATATAGCCAACGCTTCAAAAGGGTATGGGGTTCACTATATTCCCCATCAAGCAGTACTCACTCCGCAGAAATCCACCACCAAACTCCGAATCGTCTTCGATGCATCCGCACATTACAGAGGATGCCCCTCATTAAACGATGTTCTACATCGTGGTCCAGTCATACTTCCTCAGCTGTATGGTGTACTCCTCAGGTTCCGAGTCGGAAAAATAGCGATCACTTCGGATGTAGAAAAAGCATTCCTACAAGTCCGCATACATGAAGATGATCGTGACTATACTCGCTGTTTGTGGCTACACGATTACAAGTTGCCACCTACGCCAGAAAATATACGAGTATTCCGGTTCACAAGAGTAACTTTTGGGTTGAAAACATCTCCGTTTCTACTAGCCGGAACTATCCATTTCCATCTCAACACATACAAGGAAGATGTACAGCTCATGAAAGAAATCAAAGATAACCTGTATGTGGACAACCTGATCCTCACGACGGATTCAGTAGAAAATTCTCTCCACATATACTCTAGGGCAAAACAAGTTTTCAACGACTTGAACATGAACCTCCGCGAATTCGTGTCCAACAACACAGAACTGATGTCCCACATAGCAGATAAGGATAAATCAGGGGAAGTGCAACCAAAAGTGCTGGGACTCACATGGATATCATCGCGGACCTCTTCCAGATAGAGTGTAAGCCGAAATTCCCTACAAAAATAACAAAACGATCCGTAGCAAGTACGCTGGCATCCATATATGACCCTCTTGGATGGATGTTGCCATTACTCCATCGGGCCAAAGTTTTTCTTCAGACGCTTTGGAAAGAAAGCTACGATTGGGACACGGCTCTCTCACCAAGTCACATTGACAACTGGATGCAGATATACTCCGAAATGGAGGGATTCTCAAAAACGCTACCTCGAAGTCTCTCTACGAAAAACGTGGAATGTTCCCTAGTAGCATTTTCGGACGCAAGCTTCGAAGCAATAGCCACAAGTGTCTATTTACGCACGAAAAACTCTTCCAGCCTCCTCATGGCAAGGAATAAATTACCATCCCTCAAGAACAATAAAATAACCATACCAAAGATGGAATTGGACGCTACTACATTAGCGCTGCGCCTGACAAACGCAATACTAACCCAATTGCGGGCCGTATTGAAAATCCGAGACGTCTACATTTATTCGGATTCGGAAATTGTTCTAAACTGGATCAAGCGCCGGCCACTGGCAAATGTGGGAGTCAGAATATTCAACCGTCTGATGGAAATCGGAAAAATAACTCAGCACCTTCAAGACGAAGGCCTACAAGTTTATTTTGGTCACATTTCCACAGACAAAAACCCGGCAGACTGTGCAACTCGAGGTGTCAACCAGAAAGATTTGATCGACCATTTCTGGTGGACAGGGCCGTCCTTTCTACACGACCCACCTGAGACATGGACAAACAAATTTCAAATACCGGAGAACTCTGAGACCGCCGTCGACAAAGGTGCGACCGAGAAAGAAGGCACAAAGCTCGAAAAGCCACCACAGGTATACAACCAGGTTTCTTGTCCTCTCCAAAGGAATATTACAAAAGATATAAAGATAGATAGCATTTTGCGTCGTAATTCATTCGCCGTTTTTGTGATGGCTTGCACCATTCTGCTGCTTTCATTTTGTAGCATTTCGCAGTGGCTGATTTGATTTTTATTGTTGCGATGTATGTCCTTTGTGATCATATTGACTTTTGGTCGGTGTTGTTCTTCAGCCGATTTTCCGTTTCAGTGTGTTTTTTTTTTTATCCTCTTCCATACTAATTTCGGTTAATTGCCTTTAACAATCCGACGTTCTTCCTGTGAGGATGAATGGTCTTGGTTGTTCGTCCGGGCGACTCATGTCTTGATCTCTCAGTTGTATTCCGATGGATCGCTCGCGTGGTTGAGCGCGTTCCACTTGTCACTTTTTTTTTTGTGCAGCACTTTACTCTGCCCCCATCTGTCCAAAAAGGTATATTTTCCAAATGAATCTTGAGCACCGAACTTATTCATTCCGACATGAAAAAGTAATGTGTCACTTGAGTAATTGCTGAATAGTTCGGTCATTGTATGCACTTCTTCTGTACGTACTCAGAATACTGTTGTTTCTTTGTTTCTGATTGTTCTTCTTATATGCGAAGCAAAGTCATATTATTCCTATTCTTATCTTGCCATCCTTTTCTATGAGAAAACAAGCGACGCTTTAACTTCGCTTACTCGGTACATAAGTGATGGGCTAAGTCTCGCTAGGTTATTAATATTTCTTGTTTGAAACTTGCATTTCATACTTTTCTTCGTCTGACTTATTTCTCCCTTTGGATATTTCTCGTACTCTTTGTTATATACATCGTTTCAATCTGATTCATTGAATATTTCGATACGGTTCTTTCTCTGTTTATTGTCTTTTGTTTTTTTTATTCGTCTTATGTTTTTTTTATTTTAATTTAGCTGCTTTGGTAATGTAGAACGCTAAATCCTATGTATTTGTTGCTATTCCCTATAATTCGTTTTGTGTCTAGCTTGGATATGCTCATCATATTTAGAGACTTGTCATATTGCAATAATTGTGACATCCAGTTGACTATGTTTACCCCAGCGCATGTCACTGTTACGTGACACATACTACTGCATTTCCATAGAATACGTTTTTAGTCTTTTATGCTTATATTTTTTTCTATTCTTCTATATTTTTTCTGTTTCATGTTTTTACTTTTTTTGCTGTAATTCTTTTTTTCTTTTTTCAATTTTCGTGTGATTCATATTTATATTTTTGCCGTTAGGTCATAGTATTCTCGAACGTTGAAGGCAATTTTATTCGCTCGTATAGAATATATTCGTGTGTAGTCTTTCGTCTCTTTGTAGTGCGTGCTATTTATTCGGAACTATGATCTTACTTTGGCATCTCCTGCCATTCTCCTGAGTCGATGGCACAGCAGGCAAATGCTACGGATTTTTGATATTTTACCTTGCATATGGTCTCATCTAGATCTAATCACTCTCTTGAATTTGGCTCAGTACCGTTTTCTACGTACTAGTCGTTCCTTTATGATTTGTTCTTTCGCTCTATCTGTTCTTTCTCTGGCTGATCATTGGCTTACCGAAGTCCACCGGTACAATGCTTCTCCGATTGTTGTATCATCTTAGTGTAGATTGATATTCTCAAGAATTGTGTGTTACAGTTGTTCAATCCGAGTTGAGCAGCATGTGAGATGTGTGCTTTATCACAATATTAGAGAAATGAATGTGAATCTATATTATTACGCCATTTGCTCCTTGGCAAGGTGGATTCTACGAAAGACTGATCAAAACCGTAAAACATTCGCTTTACGAAGTCATTGGGACACTCCAAGCTCTCCTTTGAACACCTGTCAACTTTGATACTCGAAATCGGAGCGCTCATCAATACAAGACCGCTGGTATACATAGGATCACACTCACCGTTTGAACAGGTATTGAGGCCTATTGACTTCCTACAAAATGAATTCGAAGTGCCTTATCCACTGGATGAAGTTGACGAAGATGGAGAAGATCACACCTACTACCCAGCTGAAGAACAAGCTCTCATTAGGACTAAAAGAGAGGCTGTACAAGCTTTGCGATCATCATGCAAATTCACTGAGAAGTTCTGGCAAATCTGGAAAACGCAATATTTGCTAGCTTTACGAGAAAAGCACCAACTTGAAGTTGGCAAGAACAGGAGTTCAACACGTCTACCAAAAAAGGGTGACATTGTCCTAATTACTGAACAAGTTCAGCCACGACACTCATGGAGAATGGGGAGAATTCAGGACTTAGTAGCGAATTCTGGAGGAGTAATACGCGAAGCAGTTGTTATGCTACCATCACATCGGCAAGTACGTCGACCAATAAACCTACTAATTCCATTGGAATTGGACGAGAAAATTTCCCCTATACAAGTTCAAGAAGAACCATCTCCACGATCTACTCCCAGGAATGACTCCGGATCTATTGAAGGTGACAATGCTACAAACTCCAGAAAGCCAACAGGTCGTTATAATCTTCGACCTAGAAAACAAGTAGATCCAGAAAGAACTCTAGCGACGTCTATAATACATTCACCTTTACTTATCAACATCCTTTTGATTTTAGGCATAGTAATAGGGTGTTCGTGCTCCGACCAGTTTTCGGATCAGGGCACCCAACACATTGCCTATGCCAAGGGAGAAGCTAAATCTATCTCACCAGGATTGTACGCCAACTTCTACGAATTCTACGAGGACTCACAAGTTTTCCTACACAACCACTGGATGGACGTTAAGTGCACTGACGGCAGTATACGGAACAACATGAAAATTTCCCAGCAGTTTTACCACAAACTGATACTACCTCTTCTTGCCTTGATGATGCTGCTAAACTTTAGTCAAGTATTCTACATGCCTTACGGCATAAAACTTGCAAAATTTGCTCAGGCGATGGTGTCGCAACTTGTACGAACATGTTTCCATTCCAACTTCAGATCCCCATGTTACTTTGCAAAAGGCCTTTCAAATAGTATGGGGAAAGTATCCGATCTCCCCCATCTTATCCGACAGCACGGGGGTAATCCATCCATGAATACACAAGTAACTTCAACATTCATTTACTTGGATCTGTATCCTGAATTCTCTGGTTTCAGGATGTCTACAAGTAACATGGACGAACTCGCTCTGCTTCGAACTCTACATGAAGGAAAAGGCGCCTACGGCAAGCTGCCTGGAGAATAGCCTCACCCTAACGATGGACGGAATCGAAAGGCAACTCGAAACTGCTGCTATTATTCGCTCGACTGGACGCATATGAAAGGAGATGCAGTACTCAACTTCAGCAAACCTCCAGGAACAAGTGATCGAACTGAATCGAATTCTCAGAGCAGCGGAATCGGCGAAGGAAAAGATAGTGCAGCTATCTTACAAGTATTTCTTTACAAGGAAGTGGTACGAAAGACTATTCGACCCCATTCGATGCAAGAAACTGGGTACAAGTGCAGAAGAGATCAACCAACATCTCCGAGATCCTTTCGAAGAGCGACGACGAAATCAAACGCCTTGGAGCTCTGATAAAAGAAATCGAGAAGGAACTCAGAAAAGCAGAACGACAAGTTTACAATTCGAAGCAATACGACCAAGCCGAAACGCACAAAAGGATGGCATTCAGCTCCATCGTACGGTACAACGCCAGCAAGACGAAATCTACAATCTGAAAAAGAAGATCGAAGAGCTGGAAGCAATGAGAACACAGCACGAGGAGCAGCTGAACCGACTACAACAAGTTCCAAAAGACGAAGTAAGAGAACAGGCAGAAGCTGAAATCTCCGACAAGGCCTACTTCGAAGAGAATGATCGAAGAAGTCAGCGAAGAAGATGATCGAATGGAAGACGTACCTCAACTAGAAGATATTTCAAGTGAAGATGAAGACGACCGTGACAACAACAGAAGTTCTGACGAAATCACAAGTATCAACCGACTCCAAGAAGACCTATGGGAAATGGAAGATGTTCTCCACAAGTTTCCATACAGAATGATTGGAGACTCGAACGACGTTTCAAGCGACAAACCATGCGCTTTTTGTGGAAAAATTAGATATCATTACTCTGACTCCTGCCCAAAGGTTATCGACGGAAACGAAAGATACCGTATGGTCGACAGCGGAAAACTCTGCCTACGCTGCCTAGGAAACTGCCCAAAAAACCGGTGCAAGTTTGCGAATGATCCAAGGAGCTGTTGGTACTGTGACCGAATCAGAGGAACCATCGCCGAGTACCTTATCCCGACAGACGGAGGCCACCACCGAGCCTTATGCAGTGTGCCAGACTCAAGGAGACTTTTAATGGACCAGGATCGCATCGCTCAGGAGGAGAGATCGAAGAAAGGAGAGCCAGAATCAGCGGCCGGGAGTGTCGAAGAATCGACCATTGATACTTTTTAATGATGTTCTTTGTTGTTTCTTGAAGCTTTACTTTGTTCTGTGTTATTTTGTAGTCATACTAAACCTGTGTTTTATCGGTATTCATTCGATCAGTGCAGGCGAGGGACATTCGATATATGGATTGCTAGTTTGATCTCTGAGGGGTATATAAAGCCCGCGATTAGAGTGATGAGTCAGTATCTGAACAGTGCCTGTCTGTTACAAGTATCGCGGTATTCTAATAAAAGTACTGTGAAATATTCCCGCGTGGCACGAGTAAAGAGAAGAAAAGAAATCGTCAAGTTTTACTACATGGTGCATCGGCACAATCAAGGACTCAGGTCGGTTTAAACTTCAATCGGAGCATAATTCTTCTTACTTTTACTTCCCACAAGTTTCCATTTTTCGAGAACAAGTGGGGTGAATCAA